GGGCGGCCAGAGGTCCCGGCTGGGTGGGCTCGGGAGAGGAGTGCGTGCGGCTGTCGTGCTCTGCCGTGTGGTGTGGCCTGTAGATCACAGGCTGTTATCTTCCAAGAGCTCTGCACATAGTGAATAGTCATAGCTGGCCCATACGAAATGTGCAGAGTGACTGCTAACTGACTCTGGCGAACTTCTGGAGTGTGGTGAGTGGTGTTTTAATGAGATCTCCGTATGTTTTGAGTGTGAAAAGATTATGAAAAAGTTGGCCTAGCTTTATTTCCTGACTTTGAAAGCAAAGGGTGAGGGTGGGTTAACATTTGATGTTCTTAATGCATAACCAGGACAACTGATACTCCCGTTTTTTTCCTCAATAGACGGGAGTACTTGGAAATTCTTTTGTGAGATGTCTTTGGAATACTCTGTTTCCCTCTTTCTGTTCTGTTGGTGCTCAGATAAAAGTGTTTACCAGGGAGCTCATGATATAGGACTGGGAATAGGGGAGGGATAAAGGGGGGCAGGAAAAAGGAAGCACAGTTTTGTTGATAAAGTGCAAAGAATTATAATTTCAGTGTTGAAATGCTTTTATTTTTTAAACAGCAAAATATAGTTGCTCAAAGTGAAACTTCGAAGCACATGCTGATCTGTCACATTCAGCCTTGCTATTCTTTGGTGTAGGTCCTAGTGATGCATCTCCAGATGAAGGAGTAGTAGAAGATCTGCCTTTAATAGATGAAAAAGCTGTGGAACAGCTAACTGAAGGATTGATTTCTCATTACCTGCCTGATCTTCAGCGATCAAAATCAGCACTACAGGAACTTACGTAAGCAAATTTTTTAAACCAACTTCTTATACATGCATACTTTGTCACTTTTTCCCATAATTTTCTAGCTACCCTTAACTGGAATATAGTTTATTGTAGCATTTCTGTGTTCTGACTATATCATCCTGAGTAGTTAAGTGATTTGTGGGAGTGTTGGGGGATGTGTAAGCTGCGATGTAGGCTATCAGAACTTTGAAGAGTGTTTAACGCTAGAACAGTAAAATCCTCTAAGTCAGGTATAGCAGAAGACATGGAGATTTCTTAAATACTTGTTCACTTTTGTAGCAGAAAGTGTGCTGAAAGCTGGATTTATTTTGCTTGCAGAGATGTAGTTCATATTCAGGGCAGCGTGTAGTGCGGTGTATTGTTCGTTGTCCAGTCTCTAAACTGTTTTGCAAAAGATACACGTGGAAAATGTAATTAAGGAGCTAAGCAGATAAGAATTCTTTGCACATTGACATCTCACGGATAACTGAGAATAGTTTATTTCAAACGCAGGCTGGATCCGCCATGGATGCAGAGGTACTGGAAAGGGCTTTACACAGATCCCTCTCAGGTTTTGCAGGGTACATTGGTCTGGGCTTCACAATGCCTGATGTGGTTGTGCTGCTACCAAGCACAGCCTGTGTCTGGAAAGACTTTAGCTCATTTGTGTGGGATGGAGGATCCCTAATAAGCACCAAGGATCCATGCAAGTTCTGTACAGAAGTAACTTAGTCCTGCGGCATGACACAGACGCAACTGAGTGGAAAGTCAAGAGCTAATTGTTTTTCCCTTCGTTCAACCTGGAGTGTTTACATACTGCAACCTGCAGAGTGCTTTTTCAGGATTTTTCTATATTTGTCTTGGATGCCCCTGCTGTATGTGTATTCCAATGGGATATTTGTAAAGCCATTTACTCCTGTCTTTGCTGAAATCACCTAGCAATGCATAAGAGGAATCTCATATTGGGAAGCATGTGTTTATATTTGTATGATCAAAAGTAGTATTTATTAAAAGGGCTGGTTGAAAAGTATATGTGCTGCTTTACTTTGGTTTCATGCATTTTTGTTTGTTTGTTTCAGACAGAACCAAGTGGTATTACTAGAAACATTAGAACAAGAAATTTCAAAATTCAAAGAGTGTAACTGCATTCTTGATATTGATGCTTTGGTAAGTACTATTAATGCTTTCTCTTTTAGTGTAGATTTCCTTGCTGAAGCATTAGTAGCAACTTGTGTATTTTCCTTGTCCTTGATGACCCACAGGAAGAGAACCAACCAGGTCATATATTTGGGACAAATTGTTGCTGGAGAGGGTGCGGAACCAGCATATTTCCCTTACATAGGAAGGGCTCTGGGAAGAAAGAGCAGGCTCAGTCAGCCAGTGGTAGTAAGTCTAGTTGTTCAAAACCAGTAGCTGAAGCAAACGGATGCCATCTTTCAGTAGGTCAGAGGCTCCAACATGAGCTCTGTGCATCTCTCCAGACTAGCAGGAGGGGTGCACAAAACACTGATCTATGGTGCATAAAATGGTAATATTTTTATTCTGTTTAATGAATCTTAATTCAGTAGATTACTGTGTGTACCTGTTGAGATATAGTAGCTTTCTATAGTAAGACATGTAATACATAAACTTATATATAACTTGAACGTGTTTAATCCATTATCAAACCGTTCTGGTAATCGCTGGTTTTGATTGATGTTTTGCTGTGTAGCTTTATAAAACAGCTATTCCAACTTGACAGTCACTGATTTAACAGTTATGTTTTTTAAGTTTTCAGAAGCTAAACACTATCACAACAAGTTAGTGAATATTAGAAATGAGATGATGATGCTCCATGAGAAGACATCAAAGTTAAAAGTGAGTGGGATAAATATTTTTGTATTTTCCAACATAGATATTTAATTCTGTATTATTGACTTCCAACTTTTATTTTGGATGCATGCTGAAAGTTCTGATTAACGAAGAATCTTCAATCCTTATCTTAAATGGATGTTTTCAGTAGCACCAAGCCATGTATATTTTGAAACTTTCACTTACTTCTACCTGTGCTCAAGCCGCTTATGCATCTGAACTACTTTTAAATCTCAGTGTTGTCATCATGTTTAGGTGGTACAAGAATCATGCTTTGTTCTGTCGCATAATCCTCTCCATTCCAACTGATTCTTTGTTTCATTTTCTGTGCCTTTTTAATGAAAACCAGATTGTCATAAATGTAAGAATTTCTCCTTCTATTTAATGTAATATTAGCAGTGGCCTGACTTCATGCTATATAGGCAGTCTCTGGTTACATTCTGTCAAGATTAGTTCTTCAGTACATTCAACAAAAGTATTTTGGAGGCAATAAATTTCACAGTATACACCTTGTGTGGTATACACGAAAGATGACTTTCACTAAGACTGAAGGAAATCCAGTTTGTATTTTCCTTGTGTAGATCACAGACTTGCAGTTTCTGAACAGTAAGATGGAAGTGGAAGGGAGAAAAAAAATGAGCAGTTATGCAACATTGAATCATCAGCAGGATGGACTGAAGAAGATAATGTTAAGAGAATGGGAGGAATTTTGTTTGTAGCTCCAACTTAAATACAGCTATAAAACTTTAAATTATTTTCTTGTCTTTTCTGTTTAGAAAAGAGCACTTAAGCTGCAACAAAAGAAGCAGAAAGAAGAACTAGAACGAGAACAGCAACGTGAGAAGGAGCTTGAAAGAGAGAAGCAGTTAACAGCAAAACCTGCTAGGAGGATGTGAAAGCAGGGCATGCAACAACTTGTCTGAATCAATAATTTCTGCATTCTCTGGAATTAAGGCAGACTTTGCTTAAACTGGGCTATAGCTGTTACTAGCAACAGTCTCTATGATATTATAAATTCCAGAATGGTAATAACAGGGCTGGTAACATTCAAATTTTTTCATTTCAGTCATTCAAGATGCCTTCTTTTGTAATACTATGCAGTTTGATATTATTATAATGTAAGTTAATTTTATATATATGTATGTATATAGGAGAATTTAGGCATCACAGTTTCAAATACCTATCAATTTTTTTCATCTGTTCTTCTGGTGTTTAGAATTCTGAGAGAGATTTGGTGACTGGCATACATGTCTTTCAGACAAAATACAGAATACTAGTCAAAGCTCAGTTCTCATCACCAGACTTCAGTGGCCGCTTATTTCACTGAAAACGCTTTGGTTCAGGCAGTTGGGATCTTTTGATGCCCTGGTTTATAAATACTGACTTTTTGTGCTACCTTAGTTTGGTCCTTCTCCAATGAACTGCAGAAGCTTCCAGTGTATTTGCCTGAAAGCTCACTTTATTGCAGCGGTCTTATTTTTTTGTCATCAAGTAACTTAAGGACATCTTTGAAGTAACTTCTGAGTCAGTACCCAGCTGAATTGCTAAGGGAGGGAAACCAGAACACTTAAGATTCTCACAATTAACGTGTGCACAATGCAAAGATTAATGAATTTGTGCATCCACACATATCTGAGTCAAACCGGGAAACTGTTGTTTCTGTAATGGTTCAACAGGCAGACTGTGTGATCTAAGCAAATTTCTGTGGATTAGATGTTGTACTTTCTTCACTTTGGATGACAAAATAAAACACAGCCAAAACTAAAAAAATTCCACTTCATGTGAAATTCGATTACCTGTAGGAAGAACCACTGCGTTCAATCTTTTTCCGTAACGAATGATTCTTTTGCACTTTGGGGCTATGTAAGAGAATTTTTGCTATGCTGTCCTCACCCAAATTAATGATGTGTACTGTATACTGATGATAAATGTGGAATGGAGGTTGATATCCATTTCTCCAAATGTAATTGCTTTCTTGCAGTACTTGGTGTGAACTCCCATTCAAATGAATGTACATGTTCTCTAGACTGGTAAAAGAGCTTTAAACTATTTGTTCCCACAGTCTAACAAACTAGTTATTTTAAATCTGTGTTATTTTTTAAGTAGTAATGTAAGTGATGTGTTTTGAAGTAAGAAGAAGGGTAAACTATATAAGTTTTCCATAAAATATGTGTGGCAAGGTATCAGAGGGGCACAGCCAATTTTATTTTTCTTCCATTTTGGATGATCTACACACTCTACACCTGCCTGGACTCTTCTGTATTGCAATTTTCTGAACTCCTAATTTCCTGTCCTTAATATTTGTCATCTTTTTCTGTGAAAAACGTGCTCTAATGAGTAATCATCCAACATGCAAGGTAAACTGGGATAATGTTTTGGGGCAAGGAGAACAAACTACATAAAGTAGTCTGAAGAGACACTGAAATGCTGTTACTGAAGCAGTAATAGATTAACATTTCCACAGGTGTTTTTTTTGCTTTAAGTTGACTTGTGTCTGTTAATTGCCAGTGGATTGTTGACCTGTGCTGTGGTTTGTATGTATTTCTAAGAGAAATGTAAATAATTTCCCCAGTCCATTTTTGGACATAACTAAATATTGTTAAAATATTTTATTTTGTAATGTAATTTCAAAATTAGATCATGGAAATTTAAACAGTTCTTATTAAAGTATAACATGAAACTACATGCCTCAGTATCCAAATGGGGATTAAATTCCTGTGGTATTTCCTGATTTGCCTTCCCTCATCTAGAATCCAGTTCAAGTTGTGGTCACTTTCTGTGAAGAACTGTGGTGTTTATTCCAAAGAACTGTGGGGGTTTTTTTGTTCTGTTTCAAAAATCATGGCTACTTTTACAGAGGGTACAGGATTCTAAGCATAGAAATTGATGCTTGTGCCATTGCATATTTCAGTGTTTCTTCGGAATAATTTCTAATCAAAGGAATGAAAACTTGTGGTGCTTGCCTGAGGAATCACATACGCACACATAAAAATGTAATTGATAACTTCTCCTATAAAATTCTAGCAAAATCTGGTTTTTGTATGAATAAGGAACTAATTTTACTAAATGACCTTTCTGTAATAAAGGGGAAAAAATAATTAATGTGTATAGGGGGACATTTGGTCAGTTTATGTAACTTTTTTTTTATTAACCAGCTCTTAAATTATTTCAGTCAAAACTAAAATTCATTATCTCCATAGGCTGTTCTTCTGAATATTCTTCTTGCGTCTTAATGCATAACAAGTAAATGCCACATTGGATTAATTCAACAATACTGACATCTAAAATTGTGTGCTTGCATTAATATGCACTGCTAGAGTGAGTAATTCTGTTACTGTATACATTTAGTCTTGCTTGATTTTATAAAACATTACTTAGCATGTAGCTAAATGTGGTAGCGTTAGACATTTTCTTATGGACTCTATTCCATCCATGAGAAGGTGCAGCTAGCTGTTTCATACTCAGTGTACACACTTGTTTTTAAACTGTCAAGTCATAGCAGAAGTTTGACACTTAACTGCGCTCTGAATTTTTATTTTATAAGGTTCTACAAATTCAGGAATTACTGTTGCTAACTGGGGGATCATGGTTTCCCATGCTTTTGTCTTTGCTATTGTTAACCTGGATGCTTATTGGGTTCCCCAATTTTTAAATCTGGCTTTTTCACTAATAGTGGTAGATTTGCCGTGTTAATAAGACAAATACTTGTTTCCTTTTGGAAAATGGCTACACAATATTTTATCTGTTTTTATTCTGTGTGCTGTGACCTGAGTGATAATAGCATAAATAATAATGTGAAGGTTGTTTCTGTAGCTGTTGTGTGAGATTCTAGCGGCTGAGAGTTCTCTGGCTGAATCCTTCAGAATTAGGCTTCAGTAGAGACTTTCTGCCACCTACTGCTTGCTCTGCAACACTGCTGGCTGTTCTTTATTTTAATTCTGAGCTTGGTGCTTTAATGACTCACCTTGCAGGGGTCCATTCTTTTTAAACCTCATTAAATCTAATTGGTTATTTGATCTTTGTTGGATTAGTTGTGTGGATATAACTGAATTTGTGCTAAAGACTTTGTAGTGTAGCCAAGAATTCTTATGATGAGACAAATTTAGTTTTCTCAAATATTCTCTGTGTAGGTGTTTGAACTAAAAGTGATGGGAAGAACAGCTCTGTCACTGGTACCTGGCAATGTCACAGCAGTGCTGGTGTGGAGAATTTCAGCTGTTTTTCTCCAGGCAGTAACTGTGGGCAGCCATGGATATGGGAGGTTATGACTAACTTGAGTCCATAATCAAAGTGCTGTTCATGAAGTGCTGTGCAGCTTTAAAGCACAGCTGAGTATTTCCTTCTTGGTTTTGCTCCTATCTGTCCGTTATCTCCATGATGTCCAACCATGGGGTTTAAGAAAGGAAATAAAACACTTTGCTTGTCAAACAGAAAAGTTGCCACAAATATATTCAGCTTTTACAAACTTGCAACTTAATGAAACAAAACATTTAAAGCTTGATAAGGAGTAATTTCAAAATTTGTATACATGCAAAGGCAATAGTCTAAAAAAGAAGTTATTTACTTTGCCTTGATGAGCAAGACTTTTCTTCTGTCATGTGGGACTCCTGTAAAGAGTAATATCCTCCTGTGTACATACAGCCTGCAAGAGTGATAACAGAACAATGAAGCTGAACTCTCTGCCACCCTGATACCTGAAACCAGTGTTTCAGCCCTTCAGCACGCAACTGAAGTTGTTAATTTTCAGTCTTTAAAATTGGTAGAAATCATGGTGGTAAACTATGTATGAGAATGTATTTCTTACTCTGCTTTGCTTTTGCTTTTACTACTGTTTCTTTTTGTTAGCCTTACAGATGCTATGATTTAGAGGTATGCCAGAAGAAGAGTATCTCCAAGAAAGAATATCAGAGATGATGTGGGGAAATAACTGCTTTTCTTTTCCATCACCCAGTGTTACTAGAATACGAGATTGTGTTCGCTATCAGGTAGGCACTTTCCACAGAAGATTAATCCCCATCTTGGAGAGTTTGCAATCCAAGCCTAGACAGACATGTTGCTGTTGTCTGTGGAGAAATATCCATGGGAGCATAAAGAAAATATTTTAATATTTAAAGACAACTCTAAAAATATTTGGTTTTAGAAAAAAAGCACTTTATCGTGGACATTGATGAGAATCAACCTCTTGGAACAAAAAATGTCAGAAAAAGGGTGTGTGCCAGAGCAGCTGGGAACAGGAAGTTGGGAAGCTCTTAGAAATTATAAAAATGGGGCAGTTTGGGTGTTTTAAACAATGTGACTGTAAATCATGGGGTTTTTTTTCCTCTTTAGAGAAGTCACTTGTATTAACAAAGATGTCTAAACTTGATGTCATATTTTTAAAGATACTGATCATGTCTTCTCCCAGTAGATTTTTCTATCCAGTAAAATCCATGAAAGTGTAAGTGTTCACCAGCTTTGAAAAATGAGCCTTTGCTTCTACATGGGAATGCACTGTCATCAGAGGTCATTTATTATTAATTATTGATTATTGATCTAATAAGTGGTTTGGTTTGGTTTTTTTTAATTTAAATATTTTGCTATTTTTCTGCCTATAGAAGAGGACCACTAGATTAATGTTTAGGGTTGCTGCTCACAGGTAACCTGATTAAGTTCAGATATCAAAGTACCGGTGGTCACTAGGTTACAGCTGCTGTGGTGGTTGTGATTTTGGTTTATGTCAGCCTGAAGTGAGTGACCTGTGCTCAGTGGAACTAGGTGGGACTTTTAGGCTGGTGCCAGCAGAATATGCAGCTGGCATTAGATCAGGGTTTGGCAAGGGTGGTCTGTATTTAGGATTGAAGTTAAAGTTTGTTTCAAAACTTGCAGAAGCACATGTATGAGGGTTTTGCTTTCAGGTGCACTCAGAAGTGAGAAAAGGGAAGGTATTAGACTAAAATTGGGAGGGTGGTTAATTATGTGACAGTGCTTTTTTGTAGGATAATGTTGTGCAGATCTTCTGTGGAACTACTATTAGACGTGCCAAGTCTTACGCAAGCAACAGGAAAAAAAAAAACTTTGTTTCAGAGTCCTTTTAACTTTGGGCTTTCTTATTTTTATTACGTTTACACATTTTAGCCTGATGGAGATAGTTCTATGTAGCTGTGGAAAGTGTTACAGAAACCTCACATAGATGTATGGACCTTGTGAATACTGAGAAGTTCCTCTGCAAGGACAACTTGTATCCTGACAAAATTAATTGTATCTTTTGGCTAAACCTCCTTGTGTATTTTTGTGAGAACAGCCACTGACTGGGAATGGTAGCGTGGGTTTTTACAAGCATG